AAGTAGAATTCTTGAAGACATTGGTGTAAGCAAAGACTTCATGAGTAAATTCCTGATTGCACAGGAAGTATCACAAAAAATCAACAACTGGGATCTCATCTTACTAAAAAAAGATTTTGCACAGCAAGGGAAACCATCACCAGAATGAAGAGACAACTGTCCCGCAGACATGGGACTTTTATCTAGAATATATAAAGAATTGAAAAAAAATTAGCCCCCCCCATTCAAAGACCCAATCCAAAAATGGGGATCTGAGATGAATACACAATTGTTAGACGAAGAAATGCAAATGGTAAATAAATATATGTATGGAAAATGTTCAACATCATCAGTCATTCAAGAAATGAGATTCCATCTCACCACACAATGAATGGTTATCATCAAGAAATCAGTTAATAACAAATGCTGGCAGGGCTGTGGGGATAAAGGAACTCTTCTCCACTGTTGGTAGAAGTGTGGAATAGTATAACCACTGTGGAAATTAGTATAGAGATTCTCAAAAAACTAGGTTTGAAGGTCCCATTTGACCCAGCTATTCCTCTGCTGGGTATCTTCTCAGAAGAATTAAAAACATCATACCACAGTGACACATGTGCACTCGTGTGTTATAGCAGTACAACAGTTAAATCTTGGAATGGACAAAAAGATGTGGTCTTTTTATACAATGGAATGCTACTCAGCCATAAAAAAGGATAAACCAGACTGGACTTTTATAGGTAAATGGATACAACATAACTCACATGAATAAACATTAGACTGTCTCCCTAGCATCAGAAGCTGAAAGAGTAAATAAGATCCAAAGTGTAAAACAGATATTGTGAAGTGGGAAGAAACTATTCAAAAGGAAAGAAACTGAAATGGGGAGAAAAGGAAGGGAAAAGCAAGAAAAAAGTACAAAGCAAAACAAACAAACAAAAAAAGAACCAAAACAACAACAAAAACATACACATACACAAAAGATAATTAAGATAGTTATACTACTAATTTCTATTAATTTGTTGAAAAGAAAGGTTTGCATTAATATTGGACAATTAAATGCCTATAATCTTCTGAGTAACTAAAGATAACAATATACGATGTGTTAACCACTGTTATTCTATTACCTTTGAATTTTTTTCTCTTTAAAATAAAAAAATAGTGTTGCTCCAAAATTCTTATCCTTCCTGATCTTCTATTTGTTTGTGATTACTGAGAAAGGAATGTTGAATTTTGCAAACAAAACCAGTTATTACAACCCAGTTCTATTTTCACCCAGTTCCACCATGTTTTCCTTTTCAGGGGAAGGGAATAAATGGCCATATTTTGTCATTCAGCTGCTGTCTCCTTAAGTTGGATAACATACTTACCACTTTCAATGGTTTTGATAATGATTTGACATTTAGTATTAATGATAATCCAAAGAAATGTGAAATGTTAAACGTTTTTTTTAAAAAGTAAGCAGTACTAACTTCATCACAATAATCTCTCTTCCGATCATTCAAATTCAAATTTAAAACATCTAAATTTTACAGTAGAGGGTATATTTTCAAGTATTTTTCTCTCTAAAATAAAAATACCTTGAGTTTTACCTTAAACACATTTTAATGATACTTCTATCCACTTCCATTCAATATTTTAAAAGTATACTTGGAGTTTTTCAGATCTAATTTGCACTTACACCAACTACAATTAATTTGTCAAATGTTTTGCATGGGGTTTTCATTCATCAACTGCTGCCCTTTAGAATACAGATCTCTAACTGCTTCTCTCAGTGTTCTATTCACAAAGATGTTAAAGGAAAAACATTATCTACAGTTTGCCCCTGTGCACCATACATCTGCGTTCTTCTCAAAAGGTAGTGATGAAGGACCAACGGATAGTGTGGAACTCACTGACCAGCGTCAGCTAAGTAAGTGGTACACTTATGGACTTATTTCAGCCATTTTCTCAGACCTGGGACAAAAATACCTGACTTGAGCAACTTCAGAAAGAAAGGATGGATTCACTTTGGCTCATTTCAGAAGTTTCAGTCCATGTCTGGCAGGCTTAAACATGGGAATCACACGACAAAAGGTCCTGATGGAGGGAAGCTGCTTAGGTCACAGTGGTCAGGTGCAGAGAGAAGAGCTGAGAAGGAAGATACTCTTCTGGTCATGACCTCAGTGACCACCTCTTTTGGTCAGACACCCACTTCTCAGGATGCACTCAGCTACGTTCTTCCCATGATCAGCCCCTTCCAAAGCCCTGCCTGTGTGCACAGAGACCTCCAGGAGGCATTCTTGATCTTAGTAACACAATTGAAGGCAGATGGAAGGATATTACGGAGTCAAAAGTAAAGGGTTTATAGATATGGTTATTAACAGTAAAAATGGTGGTTTACTTATAATTGTTCAAAAGGTCTCTATTTGCTCTCTGCCAGTTTCTTACCAAATTTGGTAGCCGGAGTTTCCAACCTTTCCTAAATCCATTGCTAATTCCTATACTCTAAGCTGATGACCAGCCTTTCACAGTAAGGGTAGGGGATTTGCTCCATCACTGACTTCCTTCAGCCCCATCAAACATTTCCTTTTCACAACACTGGCTAGAGGCAAACCTTTCTCTGTCACTATTCTTTTTGCCTAAGTAAATATCCTCCTTTTTTCACTTAGTTACTTTTTCATTCATGCTCTTGAGTTCCTATTTGTCTCTGCACATAAGAAGCATGCTCTAGGATCCAATTCAGACTTAAATGTGCCCATTTACTCTTGAAGTATTTGCCAAGTGCAAGTCACTGAATTACTCAGAAGGTTAAATAAAAATCCATGCTCCCTTCAAGAAACTCATAAACTAGTGGGAAAGATAAACAAGTAAATAAACAACATAATTATGTCTAAAATACAATCTACCATAGTAAGGGCTAAAGGCATTGTGTACAATATAGTCACAGTATAAAAGAAAGAGGGCTAGCCTCTGCTTGGTTAGAGACAGTCTTTTGTTTTAAATTTTCATAAAGCTCACATTCTCTGATGGAAATTTCTTTTCCTCTTTTTACAAGCAGGTTTGTTTGGCTTGTTTGTTGGGATGAAATCCAGGGCTTTCTACAAGCTAAGCAAGTGCTCTGTCATTGAGCTACACTCCTTGCCCATTTCGTTTAGTCCCAAACCCAAGAATAAGGCATCTCGTGATGTTTACACTCGTATCATTCCGACATCCCCATTACTAGCACATTTTCTGAATGAGTCACCTGTACTCACTGTCTTGTATTCATGCATCTTTTAGGTAAGTGTGTTCTTACTCTTTTTCTGTTTGTTTATTTTTCCCCCTTGTGCTCTTACTTTTGGTTTCCACTGTTATCCTGACAGCTCTCACCAAAGTCAAACTTGAGTAACCAGCTCATAGCCTTCACTGTAAACAACCTTTCTACTACAAGGGACTTTGTAGACCTTTCCATTCTTATTCAGGCTTGATTAATTCTACTTGTTTTTTCTTTTTTTTGGTACCAGGGATTGAACTCACAACCTCGCGTTTGCCAGGCAGGCACTTACACCACTAAGCTAAACACTTAGCCCCCAGTTCCACTTCCCTTTAACACTAACAAAAGCATTAGCCAAGATTTCAATCTAAGCCATGGATTTTGATGTATCTCCTTCGATTTCTGTCTCAACCACTGATTTACCAGATGTGCACCCACATCCTGGGACTCCATAAAAGAGACTGGTTTTCTAATGGTCACTCTAGTCTCATAGTTGGTTAGTTAGACAATGCTAGCTGGAAGAATACCAGATTTCTAGTCCTCACTTCTCTACTGTGCTGTAAATCCACATTCTCTCTGCCATTTAAATGTCTCACCCCTAAAACTAGTCTTGTAAGCCAACTACTCTACTTCACGTTGCCTATTAATGTTTATGTACTGGTGCTACCATTAACCTAAGCCTGAAACCCTAATGATCCTACACGTCTCTATCTTTATCCATGCATTCTCTCTTCCTAATTCCCAACTTTCCTCAAGGCCTCTTTCAAAAATTATCTCTTTCAGAAACGGTTCCTGTCTCTGCAGCTGGTGATAGTTTCTCCTTTGTTAGAATGTCCGAGATTCCTTCTTTCCTAACAGTTGCCCTATGTTTTCCTCCAACCTGTAGTTCTGTGGTATGGTATGTGGGAGCATACACCTAGCTTTTTGCACAGTCCACCCTATCTCTAGTACTGCCTTGCCTACAGTAAGCATGGAAACACACTGTGAGACCCAGATTGATTGACTTCCTCCTGAACTTTGAACCCAGAAGCAGCAGTCTTCTATGGTGATAATGCTTTCCAAGACAACTGTTGAAGGACACATAATGACTTGGAAATTCTAGAGCTAAAATTTATACTGGTCATAAGTTAAACAAGCAGAAGTTCTTCTGCAAGTCCTTCAACTCCAACTCAACTCAGGAACATACCAAATACAAATGACTATGTAATGTCACCTTGTTTCTTTAGAAAGGCAAGTTTACTAATGATGCTCCCTTAAATGTCTGGCTTACAATATACGCATTTCCTTTTTAAAGTTGTTCACGATACAGTATTTTGAAAGGTCTGTTAACGAACTATCATTAAAAGCACAAATTAAACATGGCAGTAATTGATGCAATAAGAACATTCAGCTGGGACAGACTAGATTACTGTATGCTCAGAAAACAATTTCCCCAAATGAAATGTGCTGCCATTAATTTTTGGCTTCATTAATAAGTAATATGTAACTAAAGAAAATGATTTTTAAAAATGTGGTCCTCAGTTGATAAAGCAACACAAATTGATAGGAGGGGAAAGGGTTTCTGATTTTCCTTACAATAATTAATAAATAAATAAATAAATAAACCTGTAGACTAGCAAACAGAAGAATTGGAATAAGCCAGGAAAATCAAGGCCTTAGCTGAATTCATCTGGAAGACGGGATGTCTAGGTGAGGCCTAACAAGTAGCATACATACCACTCAGGAGCATTAAATCAAACTGAGAAGAACTATCTGCTGTCTCATTATGAGGATGCAGAGTCAGACCTACCTGGCTTATCCCTTGGGGAGAGATCTTGTATGACTGCAACTTCTGCTTCAGCAGCTCTGGATCACTGTGACGGAATGGGCACCCTGGCAAAAAATAAGTAACACAGCAAAATGGTTATTTACTCAGGACTCATACAATACCACATTCCAGAGACCGTCTAGACTCCCCTTAATTGTCTAACAGTTTATTAATAAAAAAGTTAATTGTCCTTGGGTTCAACTACTTTCTAGCCCTTATCTAAACAACAACTTAGCTGTGCAGTTATCAGGGTACCAGAGGCTCAAGAGTTACATAAAGCATTATAACATCCTCAGCCAAGATGTCCATTTACTACAACCTGGAAAACAGCCCTGATTTGCTACCTGCTAACAGCACAGATAACCACAAAGTAGCTACGACAGTTTACTAAAAAAGTTTATACAACTTTGTATTTTTTCTAGTCTAAAATATTACGTGAAAGGTATACAAAAGGGCAACAGATAATGTAATCAAAAGTAGAATTAAAAATTCTGAGAAATACAAAATCTTAAACCATTATCAGACACAAAACCCTTACAAATTTAGAGGAATTATGGAGGGAGATGAATGAACAAAGAGGAAACTGCTTCACAGAAAAACAGACATATATACATGAATATTATGTCATATACATATTTTATCTTTATATAATTTCATGAGAAAAACAAAGATGGGATACTATATATATCTGCATAATTAAGAACATAGAAGAATAAAAATTAAATGCAATATTAGGCCAAAATCTAGATTTCACATATCCTAAGAAAGAACTCCAATGGTAAATTATAATACTTCTATGAAAATTTAATACAGGAAAGTTTGATAATTATTTTAGTCATATAGATGATGGGCCTATAAATTAATTAAAAACAACTGCATTTTAAAATGGAATCAGCAGGAAACTGATTGATGAAAACTAATGCAAAAGAGGCAGGATGCCAAACATATTTACCATAAAAGCATAACTGAATAAAACATCCCTTATAACACTTTTGACCCATGCAACTATGAAATCTGCAAAATTTACTGTATACATTATATTCAGATTAAAACTAATAAGAAACCATGTAATACATAGTGAAGAGCTGGGAGCTGTACCATCTGCCTTGGAATCTTGCTTTTCCATTTGATGACCAGGCAAAATTCTAATCTTCCCACAACTCAGCTTCACCCACTCTCTTTTCTCATTTGACAGAAATAAGAGTCCCTATCTCACAGATTTTCCAACAGAATGGAATATACAAGCTTCTATGTGCTCCTGGTATGTAGAGGAGTATTCAAATGTTTTAGTTATCACTATCTTGAAATGCCTGTTAATAAAATTACAAAAATCTCAACAACAGAAATGAAGGTACATGGAATTGTTAGCAAACCCAGAATAAAAGGCACACACACGTGCGTGTGCATACACACACACCCCAACAAAAAGACAAACTAGACAAATTACCCAAATTACTGGTTACAGTTATATAAAAAGGTCACCATGGACAAGGCAGGAAGAACTAAAATACTAATGACCAAACAGAGGTTTTTTGAAGCTATGCTCACTATATGAAGAAAACAGAAGAAACAGACTACTACTGGCGACAATGATATACCTGCTGGTGATATAAATACCTACTTTGTTTCTACCTTCCATATCAAAGAGAATTATATCCAAGGTTAAACCTAACAAGATAACAAAAATGAGATAAAAGCATTTAGAACTAACATGAATTACCACTAACCGACAAAACTGTCCAATACACATGTGTGAGACAGACGGACAGAGACAGGACTAAGCATATACTTTTTATGGCTTAAATCCAAACTGACCCTCAAGTCTCATGTGTTCAGAGGTAGGGCTTTAGAAGGCCTCAATGGGTCGGTCACGTGCCATCAGGGATAAGCTTTAAGTGGTGTGTGCTTCTTCCTTCTCCTCTCTGCTGTCATGAGATTAGCTGCTTTCCTCTGCCATGCACTTCTACCACGAAGCTCCTGCTTAGAGCTAGCAGACCATGAAATGAGACATCTGAAACCACGAGCCAAAATAAACTCTTCCGACCTTAAGCTGTGTGTGTCAGGTATTTGACCCTAGCATGGACAGGGGACTAACACAGTAACAGTGTAGATTCACAACTAGTTGAACAATTGTTCTAAGTTGTTGATCCATAAAACAGTGTCAACGACTGAAAAGTAAAGTAATTTTGTAAATAACAAGATTTTTGATTAAGCATATTAAGGAGTCTAGAAATTGCCACTCCATCCTACACCAAGAAAAAAGCTAAAATAAAGCAACTGAAAAAAAAATCCTGTTTAATATCACCATCATCTGCTCCAGACATCCAACCACTGCCACCACAGTGCTCCCTGACCAGGGTCTCCTGACACAACCCTTCTGGCAGCAGTAGCTTCACAGCACTTGCCTGCTAATCGCCTCGCTTCGCTTCCTCACTCAGGCTCTGCATCATCTCAGGTCATTGCAAAGAAGACACAGGGTAGTGCGATACTTTGAAAGACAGCACATTTACACAGTTTTACCATAGTCTACAGCTACAAATGTTCTCTTACTATGGATTACTTACTGTGCCTAACTTAGAAATTAAATTTTATCAGAGATGGGTATTTATAGGCAAAAACAGTACAGGGAGGCGTTAGCAGTATCTCTGCTTTCAGGAATTCACTGGGGGTCTTGGGATGCAGTCCTTGAAAATAAGGCTCCCCCACTATTGCTCCTAACAGGTATAAATTAAAACAAAACAAATGCAACAGAATGTACTACAATGAACAAGATATGATTTAACAAAGATAAAAAATACAAGGCCTTACATTTATACTAATAAAAGCAACTAAATAACCAATATTAAAACTTAGGAATTCACAGAAAGAATCGCTGGGATTTCACTGCCCCAGGAGCTCAGTTCTGAGTTAACTGTCCCGGTAAGACTTGCCATGCTAATAAAAGCTTCTGGTTTCCTGGGCAGAAGTATCTGTATCAATGAATTTCAAACTTTATTAAGTCAAAAAAATCACCTGGGGGGAACGCAAAAAAAGTCTGCTACTGATATGTCTGAGAGTGGATTGTCTAAGCAATCTGTATTTCTTGGGGCATCTTAAGGGACTCAACACAAGTGACAGGAGTTGCTGCTTGTCCTCATCACCAGTTCTAGACACAGAGAGCATCATCGAAAAAGCCTGTGATGATTTCATCTTTTAACAAAGTAAAAGTGTGCAATTTTTTAAAAATTGTGTTGCACTTAACATTCTAAAACAAAATAGTTCTGACATGTATTGTAGTAAGCTTTGGCAATCTAGAAAATTTACTATTAAATCATTCCTTGACACAACAAATAGAAGCTTCTCAAGGTATGCTTAGAGAATTGCTTTAGAAAAAAAAGCTGTTGAACTCAGAAGTCTACAGAAAATAGCTTGAAAACTCAGGCAAATTGATATATGTTTGATAATCTGATATTGCTTAATCTTTGCTGGTTAATCAGATGACAGGAATGAGAATAAAACACACTCTTCCTCAAAATCTACCATTTCCAAATAAGAGTTTTCCAACTTCAAAAAGCTTTGTATCAGTTTCCTTAGATAGAAAACAAGACAGACAGAAGCAGAAGAACCGAAAGGCCTCACCTGGCACAACCTGAAATACACTGCAAAGTGAATTCTCTTGCCTGACCTACTTCAGTAATGAGACAAATCGCTGTTAGGAATGGGGCTGCAGCTTGACACTGATGATTGGCAGAAGCTACAAATTAGGTCCTGCAATAATACAAAAAGCATCTAGTGTGCTGGGCTCCTTGTCCCCAGCATTTTCACAGGGTGCGCTTACCGTGGTAATCCCCTTGGCCTGGTGGGTTGGTTAGAATAATCTTCATGCAGCTGTAAGGCGTATAGTCTGTTCTTTTGCCTTCTTTTCCAAAGCTGTGGCGGATATTGTAAGAATAACCTCTATCAAACTGATGGAGGGACAGAAGAAAAAAGACAAAAAGAAGAAATAAAATCAGTCTGTACTTTGCTAGTCATGTCAGCAACACTGGTGAGGAAGAGTGCAGAGCACTGTTTTCTACAATAAACTCAGTGTTCATGAGCAGATGGACACCACATGTACTACCCAGGTCCTTTATGATACAGATAATTTCCTCTAAAAAAGGTATGAAAACTGGAGGAAACAAGTTTCTCATGTACAAGACAGTGTTATTAATAGTAGTTCCTCTGTATCATTGGTGGACTGGTTCCATGACCCTCAGCTGACACCAAAATCTCTGCATGCACATTTCTTGCATAAAAAGGTGTCTTATAACCTGTTATACTCCTCCCCCCACCATATACTTTAAATCATTCCAAGTTAATTACAACAGTCAGTATACTATAGCTGTTACGTAGTTGTTATACTGCAATGTTTAGAGAATAGTGACAAAGAAAAAGGTCTGCACATATTTGGTGTAGGTCAGAGACCACTATGAAGCAGCTCTGAGCAGGATTTAAAATTAAGTAATTGGCTTTGTATGTTTATCTGTGAGTCTGTCCAATGCCTACGCCCCTTGCCTGGCGAGGGAAACTAATTCATGTAAGTGAACCTCTATGAATCACTGGTCCTGGCTGAGGCCTGTAGTAGCCTGTAAGGCCAGAGACACCTCAAAAGGTAAGATAAGGCCATAGCTGGGGACACCTGGCTCAAACACCAATTAAGTAGATACTGACTGCAGCTGCAGGCATCTCACCCTGCTGTCTCACTCCTACCATAAGTGTCATCATGGAGATAAGACAATTCTCCTAAATTACTATTTGGAGAAGTCTTTGAAGTAACTCCCAAGGTCCTGCTCATTTCCGGCACTTTCCCCAACATCCCCTCTCTTTTTTGAAGATGTAATAAATATGAACTGCCCAGAGAAGCAGTTTGTCTTAGCCCCAGAGTCTCGAACTCTGCTAGAGGGTTTGGATCCTTTTGGAGCCCTAAAATCATACTACTCATCTCATTTATTTAAGCCTTCGCCATACATTCATTTAAGAAACTGGGGATCTTATACCTCCGATAGGTATAAATACAATTTTTTTCTAGTATGTTTGACCCAAAGTTGGCTGATTCTATAACTACGAAATCCAGATATGGAGAGCCAACTGTATATGTTTAAAGAGAAGACGAATCTTTGCCAGAGAGGAATAACCAATCTGTCCTGCAGTTTGATGCCAGAGATTACATTAGATGTAAATCAGTTTAACCCTTTTTTTATTTAACCTCTTCTCTATCCCACTTTCCCTAACTGTCCTGTAGTTCTTACCTCCTATCCATTCTACTTCTGAAGTATCTCTTAAAATAATTAATGGTTTCCTCTGCATTTCCCCCCAAAAGCAAGCAGTCAGCAAGTGCCTGATGAATGAACTACTGTGACTGACTCCTACCTGCAATTCCTGCCTCCAAGTTCACTGAAAAAGCTAATGGCATGGAAAGGACTTTGATACAAAGGAGACAGAGGAAAAAAGCAGCTAATGTTTACTGAAAAGCAATTAGGTACCACCAGGCATTTTGTTAGGTACTTTTTAAAAAGTAATCCCATTTAATCATTTAAATCATCACAGTTCCTCTATGATGTTACACATGGGAAAACTGAAGTTCAAAGAAACAAAGTGATATGACATAATACATCTATTAAATAAATGGCAGAGTTGAAAATCACGTGTAGCTAAGTTTGATTCTAAAGCTGATGTTCTTTCTACATTACTGCACTTTCCCAATAATAAGATACTTAAAACTCATGGGCTCCAATCTAATCCTTTTAGGACGTAACTTGTTTCTTTCAGATAACACTTTACCTTGCAGCCCAAAGTGGGACATAATCTCTCTCTTCAAATGGCAGACTACCTATATGTACTGTATCTCTCTAGAAGGTAATCTCTACTATGCGTTTGATTTTCACGACACTTCAATGTATTTGTCTTATGACACACTCTCTATTTTCTATGAATCACCTAAAGGTGATTAGTTCCTCCTCGACTATAATCTCTCTGAGGTAAAAATCTGTTTTTATTGGACCTTTGTACTCAGCTGGGTATCAGCATAAAAAAAAAAAAAAAGAATGAATTGAATGTGGAAGGACTCCTTGTCTACTATAGCACTTGAAAAGTTACCATTCATCCCATTATTTTGCTCCCAATAAAATGTTTTCTAGAGTCCGGTGGTTGGTGATTTTCTAATTTCACTATTGGTAGCAACCATTCCCCCTTGGAAAACTAAAAGCAAACAAAGTACCTCTGACAAGATATTTCATAAGAGTCATTTGCTAGATGCCATTAAAAATATAATCCCATTAACCATTCAGATCACTGAATCTTTGGATTAAAAACAGCTATCCTGGGAAGGGGGTAAGAATTAAGTATTACATGTCAAGTGATCATTTGGGCAAAATCTAAAACCAAGTTCCTCCTGCATCTTGCTAGTTATGAGTCTTAGACTACAGCAAGTGACAGATTTAGTCAGGAATTTGTCTCCTGTTCCAAGAAATATAGTTTAAAAGAAAAACTTCACCTTCTTTCTACAGGAGTACAATCTTAGACCTCCTTTCACTACTTGGCAATCTCTCAGGCTTTCAGAGCCAGAGTAGACGCTTGAGTTTATAGTGCACAGCAAATGTTTCCACGGACACTTTAAGAAATACTTGCTAAACAGTAAGATGCCAGACAGCCCAGGAAACAAATCATTTTCAAAGGGCAAAACCTTCAAGGTTCTAGAACTAGTAATTGGCCTTTAGAGAAATGCAAATTAAAACAACATTGAGATTTCATCTTATTCCAGCAAGAATGGCTATCATTAGGAACTCAAATCATAACACACATTAGGCTGTGGGAAGAAAGGAACATTTCTAGATTTTTCATAGGAATGTAAACTAATACAACCATTATGGAAATAAACATGGAGGTTATTCAAAAAATGAAAAACAGAAATTCCATTGACCCAGCTACTCCCCTTGTAGGTATCTTCCCAATAGTTAAAAAAAAAAATCATATTACAGTGATGTACACATAGTAATGTTTATAGCAGCACAATTCATAATAAATCTTAGAAGCAGACTGTATATTGAACAGATGAACAGATAAAGCAAATGTGTATATATAGACAATTGAGTACTACTCTGCCATAAAGAAGGATAAACTTGAATCATCTGCAGAAAAATAAGATGCACCCTGAGACCATAAGGTTAAGTGAAATAAATGAGACACATAAGCTTAAATATAACATGGTTTCTCTTACATGAGCTGTTCAAATGTAAGTAAAGAGCAAAATAAAAGGGAGACAAAGTGGGAGATTCCTAAGAGTTCTTGGTTTATTAATCAAAACACTGTGACTTTATTTCTGCATGTGCTTGCAGTATCTGACAGCTTTTTTTTTTTTTTTCCTGGTACCAGGAATTGAGCTCACAACCTAGTAATTGCCAGACAGGCATTTACGCCACTGAGCTAAATCGCTGGCCCCTTTGACAGCTTTTTAAGTGTATAAGCTTTAGACTTCACTAACCAGGGTTCTCTCTCTGTTCATGATAACAGTACTTCATGTTTTTGCTAAGTAAATAAACTTTTGGCTATATGAAAAGAAAGTTTAAAATATCCAAAACAAAATTAAGAATCAAAGCTTACAGAGTTGACCCCACTCATCAGTTTTCATAAACTGCATCCTAAGCCTGATATTTCTTTTCTCTCAGTGACTTTTCATCTACTGACTTCCATTGCTCTTTAGTTATTAATCTCCCCTCATTCATGCTGTATTGGGAACTGAGTCAGTTCTATACGAGGGACTCTTTCCCTTATTCCAATAATTCTTGATTAAGAGTTTCACTATTTCCACTTCTACTATTTTAACTACTGTATAGCTGTTTTCTATTTATTAGCTTTTGGTGCCATGACTCAGCTCTGGACCCATCACTGGACATTCAGACTTAACCATCAGTCACTTGATATGCAGGAGTCCTCTGTCTCCAGCCTTCTTTGTGTATTATGTAAGTATATCCACTGAAGCATAGTGAGGACGGATTTTGATAATTAGAGTCTGAGTACAGAGCTGACTGACTTCGATGTAGTCAAGTTTCAATAAACAGAAAATCATAAACTGAAAATGTTCTAAGGTGTAAAAGAATTTAATACACCCAACCTAAACCTCACAGCTTGGCAACATGGGACACTGCACAGCCAGGATCAATGGTTTGTTTGCCCTTATGATGCTGTGCTAAGCATCAGCAGTCCCTGCCCAGGTCTCCAGGAAGGCACCTACCAAGTATCTGTTGCTTTCATGTTATCTGATGTGGAACACTTCTAAGCTAGACAATGGTAAGTAGAGGACCCTCGATGCTCTGACCAAAGCTGGATTCGATCCCTGAACTGCTGTTTCCAGTGGAAAGTCACTTTTCCAGTCCTGCTGTGGGGATTCTCTCCTTGACTTCTCCAATGGAATATCCTTTCCCTAGCTCTTTATCAGGCTTATAGATTCTCTCTGGTCTATTTCCTCTTGCTCTTCAGTCAAATGGTATCTCTCTTCTCAAGGCCCTGCTGACTATATGTTTGCCACTGTGGTACTTACACTATTGGCAAATTTTTCCTGGTTAATTTTTACTAAAAACTCTCTTTGGGTATAATTGTCCCTTTGGGACTCCTGCAACATCCCCTAATCAGTCCACATAAGGAAGTCCTAGCAAAAGGAAACACAAATTTCAGGTGCACAGTGGTCTATCTACTTTTTTTGTTATGAAGAAGCTTAAAATGGCTAAATAATTTAATACTTAAATTACTGAGGCTTAGCGTCTTATGACCCAGAAAACCTTCTACAGCTTTCTTCTACACCTCTGTATGCCCTCCCAGGTCTCCTGGTCATAGTCTTCTCTCCACAAATGTTCTCCATCATCTGCACCCTGCCCCTCAACTCCCTGAAACTTTAAAGGACCAGGGGTCCCATCCTCCACAGGAAGCACAG